ACTGACAGGACGAAATAGTACTTACGAAAAATCTAGACAGAGTAGACTTTAAGTATTGTTACGATTAATTAATATACTGCTACTATTTCGTCAGCTAATGTTTAGTATCTATGGCAGTTTACAAGTATGTAAAATACGGATTTAATTTAAACAAAACATGAATTTCACTACAAAATAAATGGCAAAGTATATTCTATGTCACATAATAAGTAGTCCTATCTTCGCTGGAATTGATAAAATGACAAAAGTACGATGTAAATATGTATGACAAAACTGTAACATATTGTACAAACAAAGTAGCAATTCTATTTCTCTTTAAGCGTAGACTATAAGATTGTTTTACGTAATTCGTGCAGAAATCGAATCCGAATCGACACTACGGCTAAAGGGCGCAGGTGACAGCTCTTATACTTCCCGATACAACGGGTTACTTCGTGAACACCCTGTGTAGGACTGTGGGAACGAAATGGTTTATATACAACCTGATTTATCTAAAAGGTTTTAAGGCTCCCAAGGCTTAGAAATCTCCGGCGTTTAATCTTGATTTTTCAGCGTAGCTGGCTTTACAGATTTAGGTGAATTGGTTCTGATAATTGGATACAAATGTAGAACCGTGGTTGTTGTAGTATTGGTTGCGATAATAAATCCGTATTTTTCTTTATTTCTTATTTTTTTTGCTATATCTAAACTGAATTAATATTCTATTCTTATTACACTCGTATCGCCTACTTGTAACAAAATACAACTACGGGGAATAATGCCTTTAGAACGATTAAAAGAATAGTACACAAGAACAGAGTGTTTAATAGAGACTGGTAAGTGGTATTATTGGACACTTTCTTATGTTTAATCTTCTTTTTAGTAAATTAGGCTGGTTTTAAATTATTTATCAGTCTTAAGTTAGGCTATCATAATGTTAAATTGTGTTTTTGTGCAGAGACAATTTATTAAATTTCATCAATTATTTAAAGTTAACCTACGTAATTTTATATACATTCTTCACGGTCACAGATTGATAACAATTGCGGTAATTAAACTTTTTTATATCAAATTGTACCAAAGTGCAACATACTGTATAAGCTTCATTTCCTTACAGTCAACTAATTAACCGCATTGCCACCTCGGTCGCAAACGATTGTGTACCAACACCCATTGTCTCCGATCTACTTCAATTATAGCCAATTACACTCACAAACATACCCTCAGAGCATTTATCTATGGTATTTACAATATACCAAATACGAAAACATAGATTATAATAAATTAATAAGATTATTTTAGAATTCAGCGAGTATGTGGATAAAGTTACTTGTATTATAGAATATTTAAATAGGTCTATATAGTGCTTACTTCAATATCTGAAGTGCCTAGAACAAAACAGAATGAATTCAAAATAAAAACAATTGCAAGTTCTTGAATGATAATTATCTTTTTATTATAGGTTAAATTAATTAACTGTGATAAACTCGTGTTAATATAATAATAATAATATCAGTGGCACTACAACCTCTTTAGGTCCTCAAATTTCTTAATCTGTTTCATGATCATTTTTCAATCTAATACGCAAGTAGGTGATCAGTCTTCAGTGCCTGACACACGCCGTGGACTTTTACTCTAAACTCATGTTAATTAACATTAATTTAATATCGTTCTCGCGTAAACCAACCATTATTACAGGTAAAAATAAATTTGACATAGGCAAATCTGAGCTGCAAGCGCCACACCCGCGGTCGACCTAAGATAGGCATCGCGCCGATGACCTAGTGCGCTAACTTTGTAGACCATCTCAGTTGTAATTAAGCTAAAGCCCTTTGTTATCGATACGTCAAAGGCTAACTTAATTACGATATCTAGTTTCGATACGTGACTAAGATGTTCGTTTAATTAACTATAAATGTCACCGACTATTAAATATATTGCGTATGCAAACAATGACTTAAAATTACTGCGTTAGTGTCAATGATAAAGTTCCTAATTGTGACGGTTTTCATAACATTTTCATAGTTACACTCTGTCAAACTTTAGTGAAGAATTTTAATAACAGAAGAGGCATGAGAGGACTATTTAATAGTTACGCATAGAGTCATAAGTTATATACCTAGATGACGTCATAAGATGCGCAAAAGTGTTTTTTTTTATTACGCATGTACGTAGCGCAATTCTCTTGTGATGTTTTTGAATAGAATCACAATAACTACAGTAATATTGTTTAACCTGCAAATAAAAACAATCCTAATAGTTTTGACCCTAGAGCCGAGTTTATGAAAATTGGATAATAATTGCTCATTTCATCTCCAAACGTTTAACTATTTCCGCGTAAATGATCAGTATGGGGAGTTCATGCACACTTATTTAGCAAAATAATCAGTAGCGGTACTGAGAGCCTTCGGCGGTCACGGATGGAAGTTCACACGATGTATGAAACTAAGTACGTCCTAATATATCGAGGTAGCAGGTTAAACTGGAAAGTCCGCTAAATGACAGGTGAATTTATGAAACAGAAAAGATTGACAATACAATTTTAAAAAACAAGGATATGTTGGAATATGTTCTGGTTTGGCTTCTACAAGTGTCGATAGTCTTCCACTAAGATGTGCTTATAAGAAACAAAAGATGAACTGTTAACCACAATTAACGAAATACTTTTAAAACACGGCACTTTTAATGGCCAATCGTTCCGGTCGATCAAAAGTTGATAAGTTTACGGTACATATCGTGCTGAAACTAGCTGTAATCGAGCTGCTACGTAGCAAATTATGCTCATGTGGGGCTACCGCGTTCGCACAGTTTCGGAAGCATTAGGGGCTATTAAGAACCGTTAAGACACGGGCTCGTCACGAGCTCACGACTTGGCGTGAGGGATCTATCGACAATCTCGGTAGCCCGGATACACTGCTCGCTTTTCACACGGCACATGTGAGCATGAGATGGGAGAAAGATTGGGAAGACGATTTTTAACATTATGAGCTGAAGTTTCACCTATGACAAATCACAAGTGGCGACCCTTCGTTGCAAATTAAATTAATTTAAACACTACTTTTTCGCATAACTTACAGATTATAATTAAAAAGATAATAAATATTAAACGTATAAAAAAGCATTTGTCAAAATGTGTCACCTGTCACCAAGCTAAAGTTGAGAATAATTTGCGCAGTGTCATAACCCTGTCAACTCGCTGCTACTAGCACATTGTATGGTAATTTTCGAAATGAAAGAATGTCATCCCAGTACCATATAATTAAAGATACAGGTTCACTGGCCTCAATATAGGGAAAGTCCAGAACAAAATGAGGAAAACATATATAGGAAAAACACCTAGCAATAAATTTTTCTTTCAGTTAAATTTTGAATTCACCTTTAATACCTAATTTTTTAAACTTTATAGATCTTTATTGTCATTATAGAACTACATTTCCTTGCTGTATTGCGATATTTATTCGTTGACCCAGGAAACTACCAGCTCTGGGGTCTCCGGTATTGTCTACCAGGCGCCAACTTAAACCTTTAATAAGCGCCTGTGCACTTGAACCCCACGGCCCAAGAGTCTCTACTCCAAAGGGAACAAAATCGAAGTTGGAGGAAAGACTCTTATATTTGAGCCGTTTATTATTTTCCGTCTGCAGAAAAACCTAATTAAATGTGGTATGTTTATTACCTCGATCTGTTCCCACGGACGAACTTATCAAGACAGATGTAGCCATTAAGTGCTAATCATAATTTGCAAATATCCGAACATCTGAGATAGCAAGTACCTTGATTTAAACTTAGTAATCGACATTGTATGTAGACTATAAATTCGAATGATTACATTTATAACGTTGATAACAGATGTACAACCTTTTATTGCCCCTTTTAGATATCTCAAGTGATTTAAATGACTTCATATCATATAAAGGGTTATAGACGTTGTAAAAAAACGGTCTCTCACTGTCAAATGTCAAATTCTGCAATTCTATATTTAAATTTATAAGAAACTCGTAACTTGCAAGTAGAAACTCTTTAAATCAGTTTAATATAACGCCTTTTAATTTCACTTATTTCCCAATTATTTAAGAAAATGATCATGGCTTTCATTATTAGCGAACGAAGATACATACAGGTGATTAGTACGTTACCTATTGCTTCATTAAAGATGATTATTTTATCGTTATACCTCTATATCAGTGCTACGGAGAAAAAAAAATCAGTGGCGCTACAACCTTTTCAGGTCTGGGTCTCAAATTTTTGTATCTGTTTCATGATCATTTGTCAATCTAATAGGCAAGTACGTGATCAGCTTCCTGTGTCAGACACACGCCGTCGACTTTTTTGGTCTAAGACATGCCGGTTTCCTAACGATGTTTTCCATCACCGTTCGCGCGAATGTTAAATGCGCAAATAGAAAGTTCTTTGGTACACAGCCGGGGGTCAAACCTACGTCCTCAGGGATGAGAGTCGCACGCTGAAGCCAATAGGCCAACAGTACTACGGTTATTAAAATAATAACGTGAAATTGGACATTGGAATCGGGAGTAAGCCGTTTGCAGCAGAGTAGCCCTGCTGGTTACAAAGTTATAATGGGCATAAATGTCAATCTTTGTAGTATGGTGTTTCACTATGAACGCGTGAAGCTAAAGGTCAAACGAAGGTTTAGCGGCAAAAAACGGCCAAGGTACTACCTAATATTTGCGGTTTTTGTAACTGTAGTAGCCAGTCTGTACGACACAAGTGATTGGTCCGGTGACAACCTAAGCCCTAATAAGTTGTGAGGTGTCTAGCCACGGCCTTGTCTCCTGTATCAGTAACCACTGGTATGTAGGTCGTGAAAATTACGTAATTTGCATTAATTATTCATAAAAACTAATTAATTATTAATATTCAACTTCTCAAAGCCTGAAAGTATGTAAAAAACGTATTCGATTTTATTGACGGAAGCCATAGGTACTTATCTAATCTCAAAATTACTTTTTGAACATATTTTGGAATTAAATTAATAGCTAAAATTTCTACAATATTTACACTTAGTAGCCCCAATCTTTGCGTCTTTTGATGCTTTTTAAGGGAAGTCTGAAGAAGGCTTACTTTATGTGGCTATACCGAAACTATTATTGTTTCACTGGGAAACGAAATCATGATACACATGTGCTTTAGTATCTATGTGTCACGACAATACAGTAAGTATTAGTAATATTGTTGTTTTTTTCTATTTTAACATTACTTGTTAAATTATTAAAAAATATTAAACTAAAAACATATTTTGTCACTAATAAAAACACTGTTTATATAATGACAAAAACCTTTATGAATTAGCTAAAATCTAGGTTGCAGAATATTTTTGTATATTAATTAAACAAATAAAAATAACTAACCTGTGCTGACGCAAATTGTCCTGCCTTTTGAAACTCTTCCCACAGACCTCGCAACTGAAAGACAGCTCCGGGCTCTTGTGGGTCCTCTCATGAATCATCAGGTTATAGGACTTCGTGAACCGACGTTGGCAATACTTGCAGACGAACTCGCATTTTGGGCGCAGTTTACGCCTGAAGTCCCTTGTGTCTTCGTCGATTTGCATCACGGCGAACATTTTGTCTGGACTATGGTGCTTGCAACGGGCGGGGCTTGGGCGCCTGTTGACAATGATAACTTATCAGTCGCTGTTTATACAATTCTAAACCGTATGCTTAGTTGATAGGGTATATTCTCATATAACAGACGCGAAGATAACATTAATACCTATTTGTTTTAACTAATTAATGCCCTATTTTCTTATTAACTGCACGCGCACTTGTCTTTATAAAATAACAATTTAAAATTAAAAACCCAAACTAAATACGCACCTTAGCGATAAATTAAACTTTTCTACACTTTCACTAACATAAACACGGATGTATGTACGAGCTAGATGTGTCACGCTACCAGACGTGCGACGTTAGGCGGGTGCGTTTGCCAACTGCGCTGGCGCAAGGGTGCGGAAACTACTGATAACATTACGCGGAAGACGCATAACCCCCACCACGTGCCACGACTCAATGAACAGGTAGCTGGCTGCCGTCTCACAGGGAAATTACTCGGACTTGCAATATTTCAATAGCGATATCGCACTCGCCTAAACCATCTACTTATATAGTATCGCTCTATTCGCATCACAAATCTAAATTAAAGACACTTTAAATTGTCATTTAATATATAATAACGTTTATATATAATTTTACATTTTAGAATAGGGCTAAATGAACAATTAGTACGGTCATTATTAACAAGAGAGGGAACTGTCAAATTGTATAGTAATTTTAAGCAAAGTTTAAAAATGTAACTGTGATTACTTAAATTACAGGGACATAAGTAAGACACGATCGCACTACCGTCACGGTGGGAAAGCCGCGTTTCGCTCGCGGCGTGCGTGCACGCACGATACGCACTAACTTATTTTGGCACCGGCGCTTACAAAAACCGTCTTCTGTCAGAGTACATTGCACTTTCTAGTAGCTTTATCGATTTGTTTCCTCATAATTTCTAGGTCAAATGTCAATTTTACCAACACAGTGTAGCTTAATATTTTTCAAGAATAACTTCGCGTATTCCGATAAATATGTTCATTTAAGGTTCGTTTCTTTACGAGATCTATCAGATCTCTTGCAGGACTTTTGTATTGTGCGTTGAACATAATCGTGTTTTTTCACTCCTTGCGGGAGGATGTAACTTGTAAAGTTCTTTAAGGATGAGCAGGACAAATATACATATTTGCTTCGTACTTAAAGCTGAATTCAAGGACTTTAAAAAATAAATTAGAGATGGATTAGGTCCCTAACGCACAGTACTGTAATTGTTTTAATTCCTTGCGTTAGGAGATATGTCGGTACTCGTGAAATCGTACGCCTCGTAGACGCAAGAGATGGAAGATGGGATTTTTAGTGTTGTCCTAGAATCGACATTCGGGAAGTCGCGGGCAAGTTTTGGAAATAACACTCGCGTATATATCAGCGTGTTGATTATTTTTGATAAACAATGAGTGATTAAGTTTAAAAGAAAAAAGTGTAAAAAATCTATTTTATTGGTGAGGTTTCTAACAAAAAATCAACGCCGAATTATACTGCTGCATCGTCCAGTAAAATATTTTGTTTTGGAAAATGTTCAAATTTGCCCCCCATTGACTAATAATGACAGTGATTCTGATTATGAAATATTTAACGATAAACCTTTTTCGTTGGAGCACACGCAGTTAAACAGCACTGACGCTTCTAAAAAAACTAAACGAATTGTTACCATTTGCGCGTAATGTGCAAGCAATCAATGTGCTTACCATGTTTTAATGAAAAACACTTTGCATAATTAATAAAACTTTTAGAATCGATAACTGAGATATTATTTTATTCCCATCACTACTTACTACACATATTGAACTATCTTCGGGTGCGGTACGAGATACAATCGATATCTAATTTTTTTTTGTTATTTGTAGTTTATTCAAATGTCGTAACTGCGTGCGAACCTAGCAAAATATAAAGCAATTAGCTATCTTTCACCCACAAAAAATTCAAAATAAATGTCATTGTTTTTTTGGAAGATATAAATTATTTTCAAAAGTGTATTTTTAGGAGACTGATTAGGTCTCAAACGCACCAGAGGATAGGCTTGTTACGAGATCTTTTAGGTCTCCAACGCACCAGCTGAAAGTTCTTTAAAAATGATGGCGCAGTGAACGTGTTAAGGTTCGTTTCTTTAGTTTTGATGTTACCTTGTTGCAAAGATGTTTGAACTGCCCGTTAAACTATTGAATAAAATGGTTTTCACAGAGCACTAACCAGCTGTAATGTGATTTCGAAAGTCCGCGTGTAAAGTGATAAAACGACTGTTTCACGCCTCGCCGCCGCCGCCTTGTAATTAGTTATCTACATGTTTAATAAATTGACTTATAATGAGCTTAGGAACATTCTAATTTTACCACTCCTATATTTCCGTTTGTTCCTATCTTGTTCCTAGGTTGAATTTTTTTTAACATTCTTTCACAATTGCCATTATTTGATACAGTATTTACTACTTTCTTAGCCTACAAAGTAATAATAAAAATAATTAAAAATTATATATACTTGATAATATACTTTTACTAAGGGTCTGTTTCACAATGTACGGATAAGTTCTACATAAGTTCGAAATTAGCTATTTATTTCTTATTTGTAGGTAAACACTATTGTTGCGTTTCACGACTGTCAGATAGCGTTATTCGTCACATAAAGTCCATCATAAGTTATGAGTCCGATGAAGTGGCAAATAGTACAATTTATCTTACAAATAATTTATGTGTTGCATAGCTATTTGGTACTTTATCCATACATTGTGAAACAGACCCTAAATAATACTAATTCTTGTTATGTTGTATACTTGATTGTAAATATGAAATATGTTTAATTTTAATTGACAAGAACCAATAAAGAAATGTCAAAACTTATAAATATCACAATTTAGATATAATAGGTAGGTTTAATTTATATGTGTACCTAAACACCTCCTGAACCGATTTTGATAAAATTTGTTGTGTGTTTTTGATTGGCAGATATGGCAATGTATGGATAAAGTACCAAATAGCTATGCAACACATAAATTATTTGTAAGATAAATTGTGCTATTTGACACTTCATCGGACTCATAGCTTATGATGGACTTTATGTGACGAATAGCGCTATCTGACATTTTCTTTTCTTATTTTAGAATTTTAAAGTTAGTTACGGCGTTTTAAGATAAACATTAATTAACATAACATCCATATATTTACATTAAATTTAAAAACGAAAATTGTTTTATATTGTAAGAACTCACGAAATCGCGTGCGCAGATGAATAAAAAATCAGCAATCATTGATCTAAATGTTATTTGAACATAGTTTGCTACCATTTACGGCAGATGTCTCCACCACACAGATAATTATCTTGTAGTCACGATGCTCACGTTTTAGTAGCTATATCATCTTTTATGGTAAAAGATGTCTTGATATTAATCTACAATTTTCTTTGATGTAACAACCGAGAATCTGCAAGGGTACTCTATTACTTGCCTAAAATCGTCTCTGCTATGGGAGCGTTCAAGTATTACGTAACGCAATTTTTGGAGATTATTGACTTTTGTAACTGTTAAAATTTTTTTGCTACGGTGAAGAGTGAGAAACGAGACTTAGAGAAGTAAAATGTCAAAATCGAATATATGTTTAGATACGCCATCAGACCTCAGAGTCCGAGGGTCACAGTTGGTCAAGGCTTTTCAAATCTCACTTAGGTACTCTAATCGACTCTGTCTCAGGCATATAAGACCCAGCTGCTCTGTGGTTACACCCGCATTAATTGTAGTTCTATAGCCTAAAGCTTTTTCGGTAAATAAACTTTTAAATGCAAAACTAACCTTGTATTTATAATTTTATATCTTTTTAGATACATAAATTAATGAATAAATAAACTGTATCACTTTGCTCTATTGTCAATGGTTTCCGCAGTGATATAGAAATTATATAGATATTTATTGGTCATACCTTAGGTCTCGTAACTTAGGACCTAGACCCTTTTGACGTATTCTACAGTCTATGTTCATCAGGTATAACGTAGGACTCTGGTGAAATTCGTTCATGTTTTACAGTGTTTCCCCACAGGGGGGCAATTTGACTGTTAAGGCTATTTTAATTATTTGAATTTACTATTTTAGTTTATCATTAACAATTTCCTAGTAATTTCGTAATATCATTTAGTTTCTTAAGTGAGCAATTGTTTTTTTTATATTAAAAATGTATAGGGCATAAGAATTTTCGAAAGGCTAAGGTCACAAAAAGAGCAAAAATAATATTTCCTTTTTATATGTATCTCATTTATATGATAGTATAATTCAATGAATAATGAATTAGCAATTAATGAATGCGGATTCAGCATGATTCATTTGTTCTCAGTTTGGGAGAATTAAATGATTCATCGGCTTGAACTATTGACCCCTAGTTCTAAGAACAAAGGTTACGTGGCTTAAAGGTAAATCATGGCTTCGTAACGTGTAAGTGGCGTATTGGAACTGCAGAAGAGTTGCATGTGGCACAGGATAATACCCGCTTCACAAATGGCCTGCCTTCAATGGGGCACCAAAAGAAGAAGAAATGCATTATTCATAATAGTATACCAACCCAGAAACAATTATTAACAAATTCAATTTCCAGTAAACCTCGGAAGCATCAATAAAACGTAAACGAAAAACACACAGTATTTAATATTTCAGAATGTGTCTTATTATTAATACACAATCTGATAATGTATGAAACTTCTTTTAGCAGTAAGACTTTTCCTTTGTCTTCATTTATTTTTCTTCTTCCTCCTCCCTTTTCTTAATCCTCTTTCGTGTTATTTTGATGTAGGTAAATAGTGTTATTATTATGATACATAACTAATTTTAATGTCGTTTTGTTAACAACAGATTAAAATACTGAAGAACTTTTTATATGATTAGTGAACTTATGTGTGTGTAATCATGAATTATTCATTAACGATGCTGGAGTAGTGTCCCAAATCCAGCCTTGGTTTTCTAACTAAACAAAGGCTTGGCCGATCGCTCGCCACCGCC